CAAGAGAATATTTATGGTGTTTTTGAAGTTAGATAAAACTCTAGTATTAGCCAAGGTATGAGAAAGTTTAACATTGTTTGTTTGTTGTTGTATGTCATGAATTATTGTGTATGCATGAACATAGGATTTATGTAATATTTGTGGTGAATTTTTCCTATGAATGTATTATGTATGTTTTGTTGGGTTATCCCAATAGAGGATTTGATACTAAAAGAGAACAAAGTTATGATACTTGGAGGTTTCCATGCAAATATATGTTGTAAGTGTTGGATTATTAGGTTCCCTTCCTATGTGGAGAATAGGCCAAATAAAGTGGACCATTAGGTCTAACTTTGTTTTAGTGGGGATGAGTCAAATTAGAAAAGTACATTAGAGTCATTTGAAGAGAGGAAAAAACCAAATGAGAGAGAAAGGAAGAGAAGAAGTCATTCCCGCATAACATAAAATTTGCACTGGTGTTTTCGTCGTTGTGAAGTCCTTCATCGCTGGATCAGGCTTATTTTTAGACAATGTGTTCCAAACGTATGGTTCTTCATTTTGACAATTCGAATCGTCAATCAGAGTTTTATTTTGGGAGAAAACAGCCTTGCATCAGCAACTTTATTTTGGAGAATTTCATAAAATCTACACTAGTGTTTTCTTCGTTGTGAAGTCATTCACCGATAGATCAGGCTGATTTTTGGACAGTGGGTTCCATATGTATGGTTCTTCATTCGTTACCGTTTGATCGTCAACAGGAGGTCTAGTTTAGGAGAAAACAACCTCGCATCACCAACTCTATTTTGGAGATTTTTCATCTTCTTGGTTCTCATTTGTAAGCATTATGCTTAATTAATTTGGCTAATTGAAAACCTTATTTGGTGTTTTTATTGAAGACTTTTTTGCACCATATATTAGGGGTATAACATGTCAATGATTGGATCTAGATGATTCAAGTGATGTGTTATATGTGTTGAGTATGTTTACATGGTTATGTGATGCTTGAATGCATATATGATGTGTTAACTATGTTTCCACGTGATTTATAGTTGATGTATGTATATTTGAGTGCTTGAATCATGTTCAGGATGTGTTTCGATTTGGAAATAATTGATTATCATTAGTTAAAATTTATTATCTATGCGTTGGCTTTGAGTGTGGTTTCAGGAATAATGATAATCAATTATTCCTTTCTGCGTGATGGTTCTGGGCAAATTTCACTAAGATAATTGATTATCTTAAGTGATAATAAATTATCTTAAGTGATAATCGATTATCATAGTGCATTTTGGTGAAAAATAATGAATTTGATGAATAATGTACGTGAACCAAGCTTGGGAAGCTCTGGAACATAATGATAATCAGAGATTGAGATTAGTAGTTATGTTTAAGGTCAATTTGACTTGTGGTTAAAAGTAAAACATGAGTGAGTATTGGGATGTACCTAAGTATGTGATTGATGAGCATGCGAGTGAAGGATAAGTCTACTTGTACCTCATAAATCCTAGTTCTATTTGCAAANGAGTGAGTATTGGGATGTACCTAAGTATGTGATTGATGAGCATGCGAGTGAAGGATAAGTCTACTTGTACCTCATAAATCCTAGTTCTATTTGCAGATAAGTGCTTCCTTTTGCCTTGTGTGCATTAAAATGAGATGATTTGTAGGGAAGGCTGCAAATGTCCTGTAGGAAGGCTACAAGTAGGCTGTATGAGTGATTACAGTCCGTGAGATAGGGTACATGCAGGGATGGCAACGGGTCGGGTCGGGCACGGATAGTGCCTACCCGCAACCCGACCCGACAAAAAAAAATCCACCCGCTACCCGACCCGCTACCCGCACGGATACCCGCTTAAAAAATATTCGTGGGTATTTTAAAACCCGCGGATACCCGTGGATATCCGCGGATACTCGCAAATATTTTAAAAAAAATATATTTTAATAAATTATTAAAATAATTTAAATAGAATTACAAAAAATATATAAAATATAATATAAATTAAATTAAATATAAATTTAAATTCAATTTTAATTAAATTTAATCTTGTAAAATATAAATTAATGTTAATTTTAATTAAATTTAACTTAATAAAATATAAATTAAATTTTTATTTTTATTTTTTGCGGGTAGCGGGTACGGATAGTATAATACCTACACCCGACCCGTTTATAAGCGGGTATTAAAATATCAGCTACCCGCGGGTTGCGAGTAGTAAATATCCGCGGGTATCAACTATCTGTCGCGAATTTTATCCGCGGATATCCGCGGGCGCGTATTTTTTTGCCATCCCTAGGTACATGAGTGAGATGTACTTTTTCTATTATGGTATTATGGTACAATGATGCTCATGATGTTGTTCATGACAGGATAATCATGATGGTGGTGTATCTATGATGATGATCATGGTACTTTAGATGCTCCAAGTTATGTCATGTTGATAGTGATGTTACTATAATGATTTTAATAAGTAGTTAACATGAGTGCTAATGAGTGGATAGACCAAGCGTCTATGTGTGAGATGTTAGTGATGACATCAAGGGTAAGAGATCAATGATTGATGATAGAAGTTTAAGGATTGGGGATCGAGTAATTCAGTATGATTGAATTGTTTATGTTATAGGATTAAGAATCCTCTTGTTATTACTACTATGTATGCGGTGTTTGATTATGGTTGAAGGTATGTATCTTGTTGTGTGTTTGCTTGTGATTGATATAATCAGAAGACATGTATTTTGTTGTGTGTTTGATTATGATTGACATAATCAGTATATATGCATTTTGTTGTTATGATTTTTTATCGGTAGCTTACCCATACATGTTTGTGTTTATGTGTTTGTGAATGAAGTTATTGACGATGATCGTATAATGTTATACATGAGCAGATAATTGACTCGAGAGAGGATGAAGAATAACCTTGGGATTCATTTAAAGCTATTTAGTTTTACAAATTAAGAGAATATATTTGGAATATTTTTCTTCGTTATTTTATTATTTGGAATAATATAATTGAATAAGGTTTTCGAATTTTTTTTAATTTTATCGACTTTTAATAACTCATAACATATCAGAAACGCGAAGTGTTACAATATATATTAAATTATAAAATTAATATAATAATTTACTAATGATGTATATAAACATTTTAGTTAAATATTATATTAAATAATAATAACNGAGTGAGTATTGGGATGTACCTAAGTATGTGATTGATGAGCATGCGAGTGAAGGATAAGTCTACTTGTACCTCATAAATCCTAGTTCTATTTGCAAATAAGTGCTTCCTTTTGCCTTGTGTGCATTAGAATGAGATGATTTGTAGGGAAGGCTACAAATGTCCTGTAACAAGTGGGCTGTATGAGTGATTATAGTCCGTGAGATAGGGTACATGAGTGAGATGTACTTTTTCTACTATGGTATTACGGTACAATGATGCTCATGGTGTTGTTCATGACAAGATAATCATGATGGTGGTGTATCTATGATGATGATCATGGTACTTTAGATGCTCCAAGTTATGTCATGTTGATAGTGATGTTACTATAATGGTTTTAATAAGTAGTTAACATGAGTGCTAATGAGTGGATAGACCAAGGGTCTATGTGTGAGATGTTAGTGATGACATCAAGGGTCAGAGATCAATGATTGATGATAGAAGTTTAAGGATCGGGAATCAAGTAATTCAGTATGATTGAATTGTTTATGTTATATGATTAAGAATCCTATTGTTATTATTACTATGTATGAGGTGTTTGATTATGGTTGAAGGTATGCATCTTGTTGTGTGTTTGCTTATGGTTGATATAATCAGAAAATATGTATTTTGTTGTGTGTTTGATTATGATTGACATAATAAGTATATATGCATTTTGTTGTTATGAATTTTTATCGGTAGCTTACCCATACATGTTTGTGTTTATGTGTTTGTGAATGAAGTTATTGACGATGATCGTATAATGTTATACATGAGGAGATAATTGACTCGAGAGAGGATGAATAATAACAGTGGGATTAATTTAAAGTTATTTAGTTTTACAAATTAAGAGAATATATTAGGAGTATTTTTCTTCATTATTTTATTATTTGGAATAATGTAATTGAATAAGGTTTAGAATTTTTTTTAATTTTATCGACTTTTAATAACTCATGACATATTAGAAACTGGAGTGTTACAATATATATTAAATTATAAAATTAATATAATAATTTACTAATGATGTATATAAACATTTTAGTTAAATATTATATTAAATAATAATAACAATAATAATATTAATACTAATAATATTAATAATAAAAATAATAAAACTACCACTAATAATATTAAAAATAATAATAATACAAATACTAATTCAAATATGAATATTAATAAAATTAATGTTAATATTAATTTATTACAAAAAATTTTATATTAAAATATTTTAATATTAAAATAATTAAGTTTCATTATTTTTAAATTATTATTCTTCTCAAAATTTTATTTTCAGATTATATACTACTGTCATTTATGTATAAGAGAGAAAGCATATTAAAGATTGTATAAATAAAAAAATGAAAAAAATCATAGATATAGATTTAAAATGGAAAAGAAAACACAAAGCATAAAATATTTTGTCTAAGAAATAAAAAAAATAAATCTTAAAAAACAAATTAGAATCAAGATCACATTATAAAAAAAAGTTACACCTATACAAAAAAAACTATTTTAAAACAAAACAAAATTAGTAGCACACTTAATTTAACACAATCAATACCGACATTATAATACATTATTAAAAATATTTATTATTTCTTATATTTTTATTTATAGTTTAAATATCTTTTATTTTAATATATACTTGTCTATACTTATACTTGATAAAAAAAAGATATACAAACAAAAACAACCGCGCGTAAAAGTTTTATAAAATTTTAAAATATTTAAGTATCACTTTACAGATATTTTATTTATTTATATTGAATGGTGTAGAAATACAAAACCCTTGTATTTATTTTATTTTATTTTATGGATAAAAACAATGTCTTCTCCCTTTAAGCCTGCGATAACTCCTAGTGAAGAGGAAAAGCAAGAGAGGAACCCATTATTGAGAAAATGCGTCCCTGAAAACAGCAAACCCTAAATCGAGATAAAGGTTCGAAGAATTTGCGAAACGAAGTGAGTTTTGGCGCGGCAGTGAATCGTAGATGGAGATTCACTACAGTAGCAGCTACTTCGAAAGACGTCCCATTCTCAAGTCCAAGGCTCCCGCAGTTAAATGGGTTAAAGAATGGTATAGATGAATTTGTCGTCTCTCATGATTTCAATTTACATATTATCTTTTAAGGTTTTCAATTGTATTATTTGTGGTGTGGTAGCTATGAGTGTGTTGGGGAGATATAAGAGAGGGATTTAACTCAATTCACCAGGCTCAGTTTCTTCCTTGATTACTGTGTTTATTGAATTGATTTTGGGAAAGTGGTTTGTTTCGATGTTTGATTGCGGGTTTGATGGTTTTAGACGGAGTGGAGGAGTTTGGAGGGGAAAGAGCAGAGAGGCGATTTTTCACGTGAAATTGTTTATTCTCCTTATTTGAAAATATATTTTGAATGAGTGGGATTGTAATTGGGGGTTATCATGAGACCTTGAGACCGTTCTCGTTGTTTTTACAAATGTTTTATGATTGTCTCGGTTTAGGAATGTGAATTAAAGGAGGGAACGTGTTTAACGTTAGTTTTTCCATCTAGTGTTTAGAGGGAGAGACCAATTATAATATATTTGTCATTGGTTTGTTTCTTCCTTTTCCTACCTCTTAGGTAAAATTTATACTAATAATCTGATCATTGTGGATGCCAGGGTTCCCCAAGATCTTGTAACAACTGGAGGAAAATGCATGCTCTTAAAATGGGTAACAGGTTGGTCTTTTTTCCCTATTTAGCTAGCTTACATCTTTGTTCAATCCTGCTTCCATTTGGCTATATTTCTCTGCATCTTTGCATTTTTTTAAATGATATTACTGTTTTGTTTAGCTTCTACATACAGTTTTGTTATGATACAAAACTTGGTGGAAAATAAGGGGAAGATTTTAAGATGATTTAACCTAATATTTTTTGTTGAGGTGAGATAATGAGTTGCTGTAGAGAGATGCAAAAACAAAGGGAAGCTGAATAGATAGAACGGGAGTGTTAGAAGTTTACCAATCGCCATTGAAGCGGGAATAACTAAATACCTATTGGATTGGAATTGAATAACAAACAAGACTGTATTAAATTGTTTTCTATAGAACCAACCACCCAAAAAAGGTTAATGAAATTGGTTAGAATATTTTTTTTCCTACTCTCACTCTAAAGCTGAAATGGATTACATCACATCTTTGATTGGGCACAAGAATCGTATCCACAACAGAACATACTGGGTGTTAGTTATAAATAAAGACATTGTGCTACACAATGAACTGTTAAATGCTCATTTGAGAGCTATTCTTTCCAGGTATCATTCATCGGGTCAATTAGGGCTTCTTCGAGTCCAGGATAGGATAGAAGACTCTTGATAAAAAGCAAATTTGTTACAAAGGATTTTATGAAGAGAAATTTATATAACCAGATCTGCAAGTTGGTGTCAAATGTGTACATTTCCCTATTGGTTAATTGCTTGCAATTTTGAACATCGAACACAATGGTTCTTATTCTTAATGACTTTACTTTTTTATTTTCGTTTAAAAGTTTTAATATAATTTTTAATCCTTGATTCTGACTCAAAAAACAATGCAGTTATAAAACATGCAATAATATCTTATGATGTTATTTTATCATTTTTTGTACCTTACATTTCTCTCTGTTTTACTTTTCTAAGAGGATACCTTGAAGACCTTAAAAGAAAAGACAACAGAGCCAACAATGCCTGAGCCAGAACCAGAGCCAACTACTGAAGTACTTTTTCTTTGTAGCTATGATGGATGTGGAAAGACATTCATAGATGCTGGTGCATTGAGGAAGCATTCTCACATCCATGGAGAGAGGCAATATGTCTGTCACTACGAGGGGTGTGGAAAGGTAGTGATTGTGTTACTTACAGTTTAAACCCATGCACATGTATTGCCATGATTTGAAATAATTTATATTACTGCATCCTGTAGAAACAGATCCAACTTCACTTTGTTTTACCATTCTCTTGTCCGATGATTGGCCTAATAGCCTAAAAGCTTTAGTGTGAAGCATTGTGTTTAATGCTCTGGAGAAGAAAAAACTCTAATTAGCATTACTATTTTGTTTACATTGCAGAAATTTCTGGATAGCTCAAAATTGAAAAGACATTTTCTCATTCATACAGGGGAGAGGGATTTTGTGTGTCCTCATGAAGGTTGTGGTAAGGTGATGAATCGGTCCAATTAATGGTTTGTTGTTTTCTATGATGCCTTCCTTTTCCTAGTTTGTACTGCATGTTCTGTGTATTATTCCATATGGTTTTACACATTTGGATCTGTGGCATATTGCCAATTAGCCTAATGGGATGCCATCTATGGCATTGGAGTGTTTTCCTCATAGGAAATTTGAAATGACCATATATTTGTTTATAGTTGACTTTATTGCAACTAAATCATTGTTAACATTTTCATCACACTAAATATTATCTTTCCACGATTTTGAACCTTTCACCTTAACAAGATGAATCTGTCCTGATCTCTGCTGTTTATCTCTCTCGACAGACACACACATATATTAAGTATGTACGTGTATGAAAATGTAGACATTATTTCAACGTTCTCTTGAGTATAATTGCCAGTGGACCTTCTTTAAAGCTAAACTAATTTCTTCCGAGTGGATTAGATTACTTTGTATGATATCATCTTCAATTATTTTCTACTATTTCATAATTTCCAGTACTGTTTATCTTTTGCTTTGGAGTTTTGGATAATGTATTACGATTGTATGCTTTTTATCACAACATCTTAGTCACCAAATTCGTCTATCTGCTGCAGGCCTTTTCCTTGGATTTCAACTTAAGGTCTCACATGAAAACACATTCCCAAGAGAACTATCATATCTGCCCGTACCCAGATTGTGGAAAGAGATATGCTCACGAATACAAACTAAAGAATCACATTGCATCCCATCATGAAAAGGTTGGTAGATTGCTATTGTTTGACCATAGTTTATTAATATCACATGCTTCATGTTATCATGTAAAAATCTCTCGTTTTAATTCATATACGTATGGTTTTGGTGTAATTGTTTCGTTTGGTATGTTAATAGATGCCTCTAATCCGAAACTGATGGATTGCTATAGTATATGCGATTCATAATATTTTGAAACTATTAAACATTTCTTGAACAGTCTTCTAATTTGCAATTTCAACCTTATCTTACAGAATGCATCAGTGGATGTGACAAAATACACTACTCCACCTTCAGAGAAACAAACAAAAACTGCTAAATCGTCTGGAGGGGCATATGGTTCTGCATCATCCGACCGTCCCTATGCATGTCCATATGATGGGTGTGAAAAGGCATATATCCATGAATACAAGCTTAGACTTCATTTGAAGAGGGAACACCCGGGGATGATGCCCGATGAAAATGCTGAGCATGCTCAGGCTAATAATGTTGACAATGAAATGGATGAAGCAAGTGACCAAGATGCCTATATCGCGAAACGGTCAAATGGTAAAATTCAGAAACAGAGTAGGCCTAAACCAAGTCTTAAGTTGCCTCCTTCCAAAATTGCAAAACGCAAAGTGTCCACTCCCACTTTAACTGTAAATAAAAATTCTTGGCCCGTGAAAGATGAACCTTTTGATGAAGAAGATAGTGAGGAAACAGAAGAAGATCGTGACAATGTTGAAGATGGTTGGAGATATACTGGAGGAAACAATGAAGATGACGATGAAGAAACAGAATATGAAGACTGAAAATCAGTTATGGCAGCCTCTATGAAACTTGCTTCCTTAGAGAAATATATTTTCTTTTTCTTCTACAAAAAAAAAATTCAGTTGTCTCTTTTTTATTTGGCTAAGGAAATGGTGTTTTGTGAAACTGAGTTGGCTATTTACATGCATTAGGAAGGACTCCTAACTATCTCTACCCGTCGCACGGGTTGTTTTTTTAAATAATTTATATATCATAAGATTATATTTTAATTAATTTATAAAATTGTATATCAATTTTTTAAAATTATTGTGTAAATAATGGGAATTTGTTTATTGTGAGAACCGAATAAAGAGATAAAAAAGGATAAAAGGACCAATTAATAATTTTTTAATCTTTAAATGAATATGGTAATTATAATTAGTTTTTGGTAGCAGAGAAATATTGATCTCATTAAAAAAATATTAACATTTAAATACTGAATATTTTTATTTATAATATTATGTTATTTATAGCATCTTGTATTAATTGTAATTTGATTTTTTGACAATGTTATTTGTAACATCTCAAAAATACAGTGTAAAATCATATAATAGAAAGATCATATATAATAATATTACAGCTTAGTTTTTACAAAAGATAGGATGTACGGTTATGGCCGAACGACCTTACAAAAATAGCAGATAATTAAAACTGTACAAATGACTACAAATATAGAACGAACGACTTATAACCCTTCCTATGTTGAACGGTCAAATCAAAAGATAAAGTAAACGAATGATCGAACGCTCCTACAAAAGAGTAGACCAATAACTGATCGAGCGTCCTAAGTTCCAATGCTTCTTCCAACAATCTCTTCTCCTTCTGCTCCCATCCATAGGGTGATCATCGTAGTGACAAGGATGAACGAACGGGAATACATGACATGAGAGGAAATAGGATAAGCTTATGTAATTTAATTAAAACATCAACATATATTTCACACAAGTCTAATAAAAATCATCATGTACAAAAATCATACTTTTCCCAACCATAATCATATAACAATGCATGCAAAGACTGTTCTTTTTACTCTGACTGTCCGGACTGTATGAATTCTGTGTAGCTACTACGTTCGTGCACTCGTGGAAAGGTAATCTCGAAAACCATCAGAATTACCATAGCTGGAAACCCAAGCCGCCACACGAGGTTAACCCTTCATCCTCACTGTAGCTGGAAACCCAAGCCTACACATGAGTTTAGTCCGATAGCTGGAACCCCAAGCTATACGCAACCAGGCCTCCTGCTATTCTCACCACATGCGTCGCCATTCTCTACTTGAGACTCAGTGACCATTAGAATGTCAGGATGAACGATAGCTTAGTCTGACCACATTCATACTTTACCATTCCAATATCAAATCATGAGATATTCCTCCCCGGAACACTCTTTCATAACCAAAGTCATTTCATCCATATCATATTCCATCATCTTTCATTATTAAAACCTCAACTGAACCAATTTGAATAAAGATCCCGTAGGATACCAAATACCGAACGTTAGTTTTTTAATCCAGAACAAGACCGAACACTTGAAGTGAGATCGAGATGTCTCCAACTCAAAACATATCAAATCGAGAGAGTTACTCACTTATTGTGAAAGGGACCGAATACAATAATAGTTCTCAGAGGCTAATAGAATCGAACGTTATTTACCAAGTGAGCCAATTTAATGAACTGACTCTTGATAGTTCAAACCGAACACCATAAAGCCTAGGCCGAGTACTAACACTCTAGGCCGAACACCATTAGAAACTGATACTGTAGGACATCAAATAATAATAATGGACGTAATTATATGAAGTAACCAAACGATATAAATACTTAGCTTTATTAATGAGTTTAACATCAAGGAGAACAAGTGCTAGTTGAAGACCGAGCACTGTAGAGACCGAACGTTATTGAGTTTGGCCGAATGCTCTTATTTTAAAAATCATATTACTGAATCAAGGTCAAACGCTTGGTTTAAGACCGAGCACCACTTAGTACGAGTACTTGGTGTAAGACCGAGCACTACTTAATACGAGCGATTGGGTAAGACCGAGCACTACTAAACTTATAGAATAAAGGCTTAATACATATAAGATATCATTTAACTAGTGTTCAAGATCGAACGAAATATACAAATGCATATAGATATACTGAAGTTTATAACCAAATACCAAGGAACGACTACCCTTGGCCGAACGCTCATGTACGAATATTACAAAACGAAGACACTCGTCTTAAACTAGAATTCTCTCCAAATGAAAGAATATAGTTCCAACCGAGTCCACAAGAAAAATGAACACTATATTGAACGAGCGCTGGTCTAATACCAAACACTTATGAAGAACGAACGCTACTGAAACGAACGCTTGGTCCAAGACCGAATACTCAAGTATAACTGAATGGTCAATACTGACTCTCGACAACATCCCTACCCATTTCATGGCTTTCATTAATCCTCAATACTTTTAAACAGCATACAATATTTCATCACCAACCAAATCATCAACACAATATCATTCCATTTTCTCATCTTTTAGATTCATATACTCATACAGCCAACAATGCAGTAACAACCATATTTCATATTAACGAACATGCATCCATACAAAGCAAGAATCTAAATCAAATTATATAAGCTTCCTTTACCTCTAAGCGTAACCGAACGTTCACAAATGCAGCATATGGTTCGCCAACCAGAGACCTTAGCGTTCTACAGTCACGCCTTAAGAAACTAAATCAAACACAAGACCAGAAATACTCAGAATGAGAGGATCAACTCATGCAACCAAAAAATCTGGGTTTGCATGCAATAGAAAACACGCGACTGAAGGAGAGATGAACTTACCAGCTCGGAATCAAAAACTGATCGGTTCAAACGAACGCCCTCGACGCCGGGAGTGCTCAAGTGTGGTTTGTTTGATGATCGGAGGAAGAAAAGAGTAAGATTTTGTAGAGGGAGGATGAAGAAATCTTAGAGAGAAGGAGGAGAAAATGAAAGTTCAAAACTTTGGGAAAGAAGGGTGAATGAAGAAGTGGCGTGAACTTTTGAAAACCCAAAATTTTACTCCTACCGTAATTAGCGAACGAACAACCTCCTGCTGACACCTGTTTTCCACTCTCTGATTTCCAGCTCTCTTCCTTGACATTTGACTTCCACTCAAATTGAATTTTTAGTGGGTTTTAAATGGGTTATGACATTATTTAAATGTGAATATTTTTGTGATATTATATTTATTATTTCATTGAATAAAATCTCTATAATTTATAGTTATAATTATGTTTAATTTTTTACTAAATTAATTTTTGTTAGTATGTGGTTGAGACCTTTGACCATTAGTATTTTTATAACTGAAGTTGTGATAATGTAATTTGTTAAAAACCAATTAATTTTACGAGTATAGTTAAAAGATGTTAAGTATACTAAAAAATTACGGCATATTTACAGTTTAAGTATTTTGTTTATCATATCATAATTTTAATATTAAAATGTATATAATTAATATTATGAAAAAATATTTATTTAAAAATGTAACACTGTAATTTAGTAAGAGTATCTTACAAAGTATAACATTATATAATTGATAAAAGACATAAACAAATACAAGTGTATAAGATGTATTCAATTAGAAAATGCAAGTTTAACTTTTAAAACAAAATTAATCTTTTTCACAGGAGGATCTATACAAAAGTTATATTCATAAGCATTAAGTACTCATAATTTAACCTTTAACAGTTTTTCTATTGTTTATTTGTTTCACCAACATTATCTTTTACTAACATATGATCAAGTAGATAAATTTAAATCATCCTATTTGTTTCACCAAACACATTAAAGTAAATTTAAATCATCCTATTTATAAAGATAAAATTCATACCACTTATAATGATAAAAATAAATCGAGAATAATCATTCACCCTTTCATAGTTTACACATAATATTCAACATCAAATGTCTAAAGCGCATTACACGAACAAAGTCCTTATGGCTAATTTCTGCACAATTAGACATCTAACTCTATTTCAGGAAGACAAGTGTATCAAGTAGAATATGAGATCTTACACTTATCATCACTCCCTTGCTCTGCCTCTAAAGAGGTATAATTATATCATATTCGGTCGTATCCCGCTACATAAAATATGACAAAGTAAATTCTATCTTTATGAAATCGATCTCTTATTGAAACTCCAAATAAGAACATCATTTGACTCTCACAACTAAGAATCTTCATCTATATGAGCACACCACCACACAATAGTATTCCTACCCTAGTAATCACTATGTTCACATTCCATAAAATTTGCATCAAAACACATCACACAACATATAAGTTAAAGACAAGATTTACACATTCATAATGAGATGCTTGCTTGTGAATGAATGTCTCACTTAATGAGTATCCACTAAAATGATACTCAGCTAGCGAAAGTATGCCACTAATACTCTTTATTTTCACATAAAAATCCCTCACTCAGCGAGGTGCAAACTTGTCCAACAAGAGAGTTTTGGGACTAGATTTTTTTTTTAATTCTACTCAATGAAAATCCTTTCGTCCATTGAGCCAAGCACACACCTCACTCTCGAGTTTTGATATTTTTGTTTTCGCTCAACTAGTCTTTTACTCGCTCAACAAATACCTCTTAGCACTACTTTTGACAAGCTCACCTAGTAAGTGGTAGTTCGCCCAACATAAAAGTGTTAGAGCTTTCTTGAAAGTAAATTGTGAAACAAGCCACATGCTTTCCTTCTGATAAATCTATCTAGGCATTCCACTTATTTATGAGATAAAAACTCGACAATTAAAATTATAATAGTGCCTTAGACAAATCTAACTAGATCACACAACCAATCAGAATCATCATGAGTACAAAACTAGCTCAAATGCATACTAAGAATCGATACAACTTAAATCAAATTTCACAAAAATAAACATCATGTTTCACCATTTTCAATTCAATCTCATCATATAGTAATAATATTTAAATTTAAACTAGCTTCCCTTACTTTGTATAATAAAACCCTTGATTCCGCTTCTTATAGAGCTCTAGTTTTTATTTGATGTTCTAAGTACCTACACAAATATCATATTACAAATCTAAACATATCATAATAATCTCAATTAAATATAAATTCACTAAGATATTTTTAGTTACATGCATGATTCTAACACCAAATATGTCTCAAAATACTAAACTAACTTGAAAATAGAGTAAAAAAATGAACTTGGTTTAAGACTCTAATAAATCATAAGTGTGAGTCTCTCCTTTGTAATTTCAACGATGATTTCTGATAATCAAATAAATAAGAAAGAGATTTAAGAAGTTAAAAGAAAAACATAAAAGACTTAAAAAGAAAAAGTTATTAAAAAGATGATAACTTTTATAAAAATAAATTCCATTAACGTAAAATCTATTTATATTTAAACATTTTAATAAAATAATCAAATGTCATCTTTAAAATAACTATTACTTTTAAACTACTTTTTCACCATTAAAAATAATATAAGATGATTTAATTAAGAATTTCCTCAATATAATTTTAAATATGTTTTCAAGTTATTATAATAAAAGCTTTTTGTTATCAAGTACGAAGAATTATTTTCTCTGTTTTTTTAAACAATCATTATCATTATTATTATTTTTAGTATGTGATCTCAAGTTTTTTTAAATCACTTTAAAAAATTTCTAAAATGTTAATGGGAAATAAATCTATATCATAGTTATACAAATACATTGATTTTTTAAAAAGTTATTAACTAAATATATATATATATATATATATATATATATATAATAATTATCACAATTACTGTCTTATTTGAACTTTAAAATTTGAAGACAAATTGAATTCGTAAATTCTAAAATAGTAGTATTTACGATTTTTATGATTATTTATCGATTGCGATGATGCAAAATCCAAAGCATTGTATGTTACTATTGATGGTCCACATCTCAAACAATTAACGAAACAAAACTTTGATGAAAAAAAAGATTAAAATTTAGAAGGTGAAATTAATTTTAAATTATTATGATATCATACGACAATTAGACATATATAAATTCTATAAATTGTAAATTCTGATATAGAACTTCATAAAAAAGGGGAAAAAGAAAACTAGAAATATATATAGCACAGAATTTTAAAGTTTAAATTAATTTAATATTACATAAAGATTATAATGAATGAAAGTTATAAAGTATAACTGATGTATACATACACAATCAAACAAATATATGAAAAAGAAAATAAACAATCATTGGAATCTTCATTTTTTTTATTAAAAATCAAATGCAAAGGAAAAGAAAAATAAAGATTGTTAAAATAAAAATGAAAATGGTGAAAAATAGATAGCTGTATTGAAAGCAAAGCGAGAATGTTTGCTTTGGTGATGTAGCTTTGTGGGAAACGAAGAGAATAAGAACAGTGACGGAGGATTCATGGCTACGGGTTCGGGTTTGGTATCGGATTCGGGTTCGCCGGAGGAACTGACGCTGATAGTGAAATGGAGCGGCAAGGAGTACACGGTTCGTGTCTGCGGCGACGACACGGTGGGTGAACTGAAACGGCGAATCTGCGAACTGACGAACGTGTTACCCCCTCGCCAGAAGCTGCTGTACCCGAAACTCGGTTCCAAACTCAACGATGATTCGCTCTTTCTCTCTCAACTCCCTCTCAATTCCTCGCTCAAGATGACCATGATCGGGTACGACGCCGTTTTCCACTTTTAGGGTTACTCTAATCGACACCACTCATTAACAACCAAATCAATTGCAGTACTACGGAGGAGGACTTGCTTCTGGATCCAGTGGATTCCCCTGAGATTCTCGACGATTTGGAACTGCCTAAGGAGGAAGCTGTTGAAATCAAAGACATGGAAGTCAACAAGCGAAAATTGACCAGACGAATTAATCAACTCAAGGTCTTTGTTTCTTCGCCTTCGCCTAATTCAAGTTTTGTTGTGATGTTATATATATACGTACCTGAATACGTATATTCGTACCAACCTGCAGATTGAGCTTCGAAATCCGTGTCGCAAAGGAAAGAAACTGCTTGTTCTGGATATTGATTACACTCTCTTCGATCATCGCTCCACCGCTGAGAACCCCCTTCAGCTCATGAGACCTTGTAAGTTTTGCCCCTTTTTTTTTGTTTTCTAATTATTATTTTCACTCAATTAGTGTATTGAATTACCTTTGCAAAACTGCCGTTTTTAATCACTCGGGTTATCGAACCTTGGCAGCTTGAGTCCGTGAATTTTGGAGACTTCAATAATTGTTGGTTTGGTAATTATAGTGATTAAAATGATGCTTTTTGTAATTTCAGGGAATAGTTTGGTGAATTAATCTATTGTTATTGTTGAATTTAATTCAAATGTGCTTTGTAGTATATGTGTTTTTTTACAATCTCAATTCAATCACTGGTTGTTATGTATGGTGAATTTGTTTGGCTTTTTGTATAAACTATGAGAGTCTTCTGGAGGATATTTCTGAGTAGTTGATAATATTATAAACTTGTTTACACTGATAGTGCAAACCCTTTGTTACTTTCTTCCTCTCCTCTGTTTCTAACTTGTCCTTTGTTCATGCTTTTTGCAGACCTTCACGAGTTTCTTACATCTGTATATGCAGAGTATGACATTATGATATGGTCTGCAACCAGGTAATGTCCTTTTGCCTTTATCTTGTTAAATTTTTATTCTTCTCGAACTGTTATGTGAATATGGGTCTGATCTGTGTAACTGAATGAATGGTACATTAAATTTCTGCAGCATGAAGTGGATTATCCTCAAGATGGGACAACTTGGGGTTCTGGATAATCCTAACTACAAAATCACCGCACTTCTTGACCACATGGGAATGATCACTGTTCAGTCTTCTTCTCGTGGGGTCTTTGAGTGCAAGCCTCTTGGTTTGATCTGGGCACAGTTCCCTGAGGTATATACATGCATATGCGATAAACAAAACCACAGTGTATCTTCTTGATGATGGGAATTTAATAGAATTATGTTAGCATATTTGTTCAATATTACATTCCTGTCTACCGCCCAATGAACGCATACTAGTTATGTGGGGGGAAAAAGGACACCCAAAAACGTTTTTTACAACTCACTTCCTTAAAAAAAAATGTTTCATACATGTGAGTATTATCATAAGTGAGATAAACCTAAGAGGCTTATGTGGTTTGTTAATCTGAGTTTGATAAAACGGAAAAATGAAACTATTCGACATTCCAAGTTGTTGTAATCTATATATGGTTTCAATTTATAGCTGTATTGTTTGAATTTTTTTGCATCAGTCAGCTATACCCATGATCTAGTTGTCTTGATGGTGCTTTCTTATTCAATTTCAGTTCTACAGTGCTTCAAATACCATCATGTTTGATGATCTTAAAAGAAATTTTGTGATGAACCCACAAAATGGTTTGACGATCAAACCATTCAGGAAGGCTCATGCAAACCGAGACAGTGATCAGGAGCTTGTGAAACTTACTCAATACTTACTAGCCATTGCAGAGTTTGATGACTTGAGCAACCTTGATCACTATAATTGGGAGTTATTCACAGAGGACAGTGCTAAAAGGCGTAGGCACAGATAAATAATAACTAGATGCAGTAATGATAATCTGGTAAGCAAGATGCAGCTTCTAGACTTTATGAAATTCTTTAGTTTATAAAAGACACTGTGGATTTCATCATTTAATATCAAGTATTTGTGTTAGGATCGGGCGAATGACAAAAATGAAAGGTTTTGTTGTCGCAGCTGTACGGAGTTATCTTAGATGTCTAATATTTTGCTCATGCAACTTCTATCTAGCAATTCCTAATGAAAATTTGATTTGATAAGTGAAAAGTAGTTCTATCCTATCATATTTTGTTGGGAAAAAGGGGTAGACATGGATAAATTGCAAAACGAGAATGACTCGTTGACAAATATGGCTGTGCTGTAACTATTCTCAGTGTTCAATTAATTCTAATCCTCAACTATTTATTACTTGCAAGTTCAATCACCTTTAGTGTTTCTCGGTCATTACTAGTCTTTTGATTGTAATCCTCTCTGAAGTTGGGTAATTTTTGTCTCATTAACTCTATTTGGATTATGTGGGAAACAGAAGAAAGAAATGAAAAATAAAAATGGCGTGAGATAAGGCAGATATAATTTGGCTTCATCTAAAGTGACTTAAGAACTGTTAACAATACAGTGTAGAAACATTTAATTGAGGTACGACGATAGTACGGAGACAAATGGATAAAAGTGAAATAATAAATTTCAAGTTATTGAAGTAGATGCTATTACTATGTAAAGTATGAGAAGAAAAACTAACTTCATTGTTAAAAAACTAAATGTATTAATCAAATAAACTATAGTGTAGTTGAAATTAGTAACAAATGCAACTGATGTACAAGCATATTTAATCGTACAATATTAAATGCTGATTTTTTTAATTGATGATTTATAAGGATGTCATATATAAGACATACATTAAATGATTAAAATGGGAAATTATTTATAGCGTTTAAGTGCCTATTAAATTCAGCTCTTATCATGTTATTCGACTGGTCAAAACTTCTATTAAATTTGATTATAAACAATATTATGTACATTCTTTAAGCCTCTTTTCAAGAGAAATTAAATAAGGATGTCTGATGAAGAAAAAATATTCCACGTATTTTTTAAATTGGCGAAACTAACTGGTATTCATACTTTGTTTTTCACTTTTTTTTATTAATTTCTTCTTAATTTCTCTTGAATTAAATGTTTTTAATTGTTTTTTTAAACTTGTGATTGTGGAGGTTTAACTGGACATGCCTAATCCTCAGAATGTTTGTCCCCTTTTTTTTACTCCTAATCTTCCCTTTAATTCAACACACAATCCACTGTTAAACGATGTGCATTCTTTACACTTAAATATATTTCTGGTTATCATAATTTAAAATTTTGTTTCTTTACACTTAAATATATTTTTAGTTATGATAAATTAAAAATGTAAGGACCTGAAAAATAGNTATTTGAACTTTAAAATTTGAAGACAAATTGAATTCGTAAATTCTAAAATAGTAGTATTTACGATTTTTATGATTATTTATCGATTGCGATGATGCAAAATCCAAAGCATTGTATGTTACTATTGATGGTCCACATCTCAAACAATTAACGAAACAAAACTTTGATGAAAAAAAAGATTAAAATTTAGAAGGTGAAATTAATTTTAAATTATTATGATATCATACGACAATTAGACATATATAAATTCTATAAATTGTAAATTCTGATATAGAACTTCATAAAAAAGGGGAAAAAGAAAACTAGAAATATATATAGCACAGAATTTTAAAGTTTAAATTAATTTAATATTACATAAAGATTATAATGAATGAAAGTTATAAAGTATAACTGATGTATACATACACAATCAAACAAATATATGAAAAAGAAAATAAACAATCATTGGAATCTTCATTTTTTTTTATTAAAAATCAAATGCAAAGGAAAAGGAAAATAAAGATTGTTAAAATAAAAATGAAAATGGTGAAAAATAGATAGCTGTATTGAAAGCAAAGCGAGAATGTTTGCTTTGGTGATGTAGCTTTGTGGGAAACGAAGAGAAAAAGAACAGTGACGGAGGATTCATGGCTACGGGTTCGGGTTTGGTATCGGATTCGGGTTCGCCGGAGGAACTGACACTGATAGTGAAATGGAGCGGCAAGGAGTACACGGTTCGTGTCTGCGGCGACGACACGGTGGGTGAACTGAAACGGCGAATCTGCGAACTGACGAACGTGTTACCCCCTCGCCAGAAGCTGCTGTACCCGAAACTCGGTTCCAAACTCAACGATGATTCGCTCTTTCTCTCTCAACTCCCTCTCAATTCCTCGCTCAAGATGACCATGATCGGGTACGACGCCGTTTTCCACTTTTAGGGTTACTCTAATCAACACCACTCATTAACAACCAAATCAATTGCAGTACTACGGAGGAGGACTTGCTTCTGGATCCAGTGGATTCCCCTGAGATTCTCGACGATTTGGAACTGCCTAAGGAGGAAGCTGTTGAAATCAAAGACATGGAAGTCAACAAGCGAAAATTGACCAGACGAATTAATCAACTCAAGGTCTTTGTTTCTTCGCCTTCGCCTAATTCAAGTTTTGTTGTGATGTTATATATATACGTACCTGAATACGTATATTCGTACCAACCTGCAGATTGAGCTTCGAAATCCGTGTCGCAAAGGAAAGAAACTGCTTGTTCTGGATATTGATTACACTCTCTTCGATCATCGCTCCACCGCTGAGAACCCCCTTCAGCTCATGAGACCTTGTAAGTTTTGCCCCTTTTTTTTTGTTTTCTAATTATTATTTTCACTCAATTAGTGTATTGAATTACCTTTGCAAAACTGCCGTTTTTAATCACTCGGGTTATCGAACCTTGGCAGCTTGAGTCCGTGAATTTTGGAGACTTCAATAATTGTTGGTTTGGTAATTATAGTGATTAAAATGATGCTTTTTGTAATTTCAGGGAATAGTTTGGTGAATTAATCTATTGTTATTGTTGAATTTAATTCAAATGTGCTTTGTAGTATATGTGTTTTTTTACAATCTCAATTCAATCACTGGTTGTTATGTATGGTGAATTTGTTTGGCTTTTTGTATAAACTATGAGAGTCTTCTGGAGGATATTTCTGAGTAGTTGATAATATTATAAACTTGTTTACACTGATAGTGCAAACCCTTTGTTACTTTCTTCCTCTCCTCTGTTTCTAACTTGTCCTTTGTTCATGCTTTTTGCAGACCTTCACGAGTTTCTTACATCTGTATATGCAGAGTATGACATTATGATATGGTCTGCAACCAGGTAATGTCCTTTTGCCTTTATCTTGTTAAATTTTTATTCTTCTCGAACTGTTATGTGAATATGGGTCTGATCTGTGTAACTGAATGAATGGTACATTAAATTTCTGCAGCATGAAGTGGATTATCCTCAAGATGGGACAACTTGGGGTTCTGGATAATCCTAACTACAAAATCACCGCACTTCTTGACCACATGGGAATGATCACTGTTCAGTCTTCTTCTCGTGGGGTCTTTGAGTGCAAGCCTCTTGGTTTGATCTGGGCACAGTTCCCTGAGGTATATACATGCATATGCGATAAACAAAACCACAGTGTATCTTCTTGATGATGGGAATTTAATAGAATTATGTTAGCATATTTGTTCAATATTACATTCCTGTCTACCGCCCAATGAACGCATACTAGTTATGTGGGGGGAAAAAGGACACCCAAAAACGTTTTTTACAACTCACTTCCTTAAAAAAAAAATGTTTCATACATGTGAGTATTATCATAAGTGAGATAAACCTAAGAGGCTTATGTGGTTTGTTAATCTGAGTTTGATAAAACGGAAAAATGAAACTATTCGACATTCCAAGTTGTTGTAATCTATATATGGTTTCAATTTATAGCTGTATTGTTTGAATTTTTTTGCATCAGTCAGCTATACCCATGATCTAGTTGTCTTGATGGTGCTTTCTTATTCAATTTCAGTTCTACAGTGCTTCAAATACCATCATGTTTGATGATCTTAAAAGAAATTTTGTGATGAACCCACAAAATGGTTTGACGATCAAACCATTCAGGAAGGCTCATGCAAACCGAGACAGTGATCAGGAGCTTGTGAAACTTACTCAATACTTACTAGCCATTGCAGAGTTTGATGACTTGAGCAACCTTGATCACTATAATTGGGAGTTATTCACAGAGGACAGTGCTAAAAGGCGTAGGCACAGATAAATAATAACTAGATGCAGTAATGATAATCTGGTAAGCAAGATGCAGCTTCTAGACTTTATGAAATTCTTTAGTTTATAAAAAACACTGTGGATTTCATCATTTAATATCAAGTATTTGTGTTAGGATCGGGCGAATGACAAAAATGAAAGGTTTTGTTGTCGCAGCTGTACGGAGTTATCTTAGATGTCTAATATTTTGCTCATGCAACTTCTATCTAGCAATTCCTAATGAAAATTTGATTTGATAAGTGAAAAGTAGTTCTATCCTATCATATTTTGTTGGGAAAGGGGTAGACATGGATAAATTGCAAAACGAGAATGACTCGTTGACAAATATGGCTGTGCTGTAACTATTCTCAGTGTTCAATTAATTCTAATCCTCAACTATTTATTACTTGCAAGTTCAATCACCTTTAGTGTTTCTCGGTCATTACTAGTCTTTTGATTGTAATCCTCTCTGAAGTTGGGTAATTTTTGTCTCATTAACTCTATTTGGATTATGTGGGAAACAGAAGAAAGAAATGAAAAATAAAAATGGCGTGAGATAAGGCAGATATAATTTGGCTTCATCTAAAGTGACTTAAGAACTGTTAACAATACAGTGTAGAAACATTTAATTGAGGTACGACGATAGTACGGAGACAAATGGATAAAAGTGAAATAATAAATTTCAAGTTATTGAAGTAGATGCTATTACTATGTAAAGTATGAGAAGAAAAACTAACTTCATTGTTAAAAAACTAAATGTATTAATCAAATAAACTATAGTGTAGTTGAAATTAGTAACAAATGCAACTGATGTACAAGCATATTTAATCGTACAATATTAAATGCTGATTTTTTTAATTGATGATTTATAAGGATGTCATAAATAAGACATACATTAAATGATTAAAATGGGAAATTATTTATAGCGTTTAAGTGCCTATTAAATTCAGCTCTTATCATGTTATTCGACTGGTCAAAACTTCTATTAAATTTGATTATAAACAATATTATGTACATTCTTTAAGCCTCTTTTCAAAAGAAATTAAATAAGGATGTCTGATGAAGAAAAAATATTC